AAACAAACAAATAAGATATGGTGTATGCAGGTCCCATAAACTTCAAAGGGTCATACCTTACTCAAATAAAAAACAAATTTCACTGTAATACTCCACGAAATTTCTTCTCACTTAGGGCTATTTACATGATGCCAAATATCCACCTTCAAGGCCCAAACATTTATCATAGAGAGTTGGGTTTGTTTGCATTTCTAAAAAGTTGCAAGGATTTTTATATAATGGAAAACTTGTTTTTGAATATATAAAAATAATAAAAAAAACCCACTGAAATATTTTACTTTTACACTTACCCCCAAAATTTCTTTGTGCAGAGACTAAGCATAAACCTATCAGCCCAGAAAGTGAATATTTCAGGAAGCTGTACGTGACAGATAACAAGAGATTAAAATAGAAACTATTATGCAACCTTTAACTATGATTACTCCTGACATAATAAAAATAAATTAGAGTAACTGTGACACCAATATCATGCATTTTAGCATCCTCAGTACAGATCCCTTTCTTGAAGAAATGCATACATATTAAACATCTAGGGTTAAATCCTAACTTCTCAGTGGCAAAACTTCCACTGACTTCAATGGGGCCAAGATTTCATCCCTACTCAGTGAGTTTTAAAACCATTTTCGATTTAAACTACACTTTTTCTATTAACTTTGTAGCCTCCCCTCCCCAGTGTTCAAAAGGGCATTTTGTAAAATCTGCCTACTTGGATGGGAAAGAAGTATACTGAAGTGCATCTTGTTTCTAGGAAGAATAAAATAAAATTGGACTATGTCATGATTACAGGGCAAGCTTTGTTTTCAATCCTTTTTATCCCATTTGAGTGCACTTCTCAACTGACTGGCCTGGCTCCCCTCACCTTTCTCAAGGATAGAACCCAATGGTCCAAACATTCTTGGGCTACATCTATACTGCATACCTCTTGTGGCAACATGTAGCTAGACACAGCAGAAAAAAGCTGGCTGCATCTACACAGGCTGTATAGCTACACATGGTGGTGAAAGGTTCTTGCAAGGAGAAGCAGCGGGAAAAGGCTTGTTAGCAGGAGTTGCCGGAACCTTTCCTCACTGCCAGGGCTTTTCCCTGTGGCAGTGGGCCAATACACTGTTAAAAATAGCATTGTGGATGGGAAGGCACTGCTTGGGTGAGTAGAGAGCCTGGCAGGGTACATACCCACAGGATTCAGGCATGTCTTTATTCGAGGCACCAAAGCAGTGCCTTGTTATCTACACTGCTATTTATACTTGTGCTAGGGCTGTATGTAGCATATGTACTCTATATGCACCCCCTAGCACAGGGCTAAATACCAGTGTAGCTGGTAAGATGCTGCTTAGGTGAGTAGGGTAAAAATCACACCTGAATCCCTAGGGTATGTACGCTACATGATTGTCTACATGCCCAAGCCATGCCTGCCCCATCTACACGGCTATATTTAGCAGAGTGATATCCCACTGCCTCCCCTGCTGCCAGAGCCTTCCTCATCGCATAGGGAAAGGCTCCAGCAGCAAGGAAAAGTTCTGGCAACTGGAGAGTAAAGGGGCATTCACTTCTTGAGTGCTTCCAAGTGGCTGGGTGTGGTACCACAGTCAGTTCTCACCCATGGCGCCTCATGCAGGCTGCCGGCCAATCTCTGGCCAAGTCACAAAGTCCCAATGAAACCCTTCTGGAGTACTAAAGAGTCCAATAAATAAACAGTCTATTTGCCCTCAATAGGATCTTCAGCACCAGCTCTGGCCCCTTTAAATTCAGCCCATTGTGTGGGCTCCCAAATAAGCCCTGTCTCCTTCTGGGGGCTTACACTACCTTACTTGTGTCTGGTATGGGAATCTGGGCCCACCCACTACTCTGGGTTCCAGCCCAGGGACCCTGTACACAGCAGCCATGTACTACTGACTTCAATCCTTTGCTGCTATTTTCCTGGGCCCCTTTTATCTCCAGCCCTAAATCAGGGCCAGCATCTCTCTCTGCAATCCCAGCTAAGTAAGTTCAGCCATAAAGTCTGTCTGATTGTTAGGCTCCTTTGCCCAGCGAGCAGCCCCCTTCTTCACTCCTCTGTTCCCAGCCAGGAACTGACCTGCTAAGACCAGGTAGCTCCTTCTATCTGGGCCAGTCAGGCCCAGATTGGCTGTTGCTAGCCCCTCTAAGCCTTGGAGAATCAGGTTTCTGTGGTTTCCAAAGTGGCTGCTCCAGAAAGGCCTCTCTAGGCAGGCCTGGAGAATCCACCTTCACTGCTGTTTCTCCCACATTGCTGCTGCCTAGCATGGGATGTAGTAGGACTGTGGGGCCTCCTGTAGGGAGCCGCAAAGGCCAGGTACACCCCACCACTGGGAGGCAGCGGGAAAAGGTTCTGACGGCTCCAGAGACTTTCATTGCCGTGGGTAGCTGCACACACAGTGTGGATACAGCTGGCTCTTTGCTGTGGCATGTACCCATGCACTGCACGCTGACACTAGTGGATGGAGTGCAGTGCAGATAGGCCTTTAGACTTGATGTCTGGGTTGCACCCCCTACCCTGTTTCCCAACCTTGTTAACTCAGCAGGCCCAATTGAGTTTGCCGCCTGTTAAACTTTTCCTCCAGGAGCCTGTGACAGCTGCTGATTAAAGTGACTCAAAAACAGCTTCTTCACAATAAAGCATTATTTATTCACCCAAAGATACACAGCATGCAGAACAAACGGTAAAAGTGACAAAGTCTATATGCATAGTTCCCCATACCTATATCTTAATCTTTCCTTGCCAGCTTTTGTAAGCTCTCCTCTGCCCAGTTAACCCCATCTCTGTCTGGGAGAGGCACAGACTGCCTTCTGCAGCATGCTCTTTATGCCTGTCTCCCCTAGTGGGTCTCCCTGTCAGCATGCTGACCACCCCTCTTCTCCCACCTCGCTCTTTTAGGTCAGCATGTTTAAAGTTTTAGCTTCTCCTTTGGCTCCTAGGTGCAGACCTGGGAAAAGTACACCTTGCCAGACTAGCTGGAGCCAGGCAGTTATTCCCCAATCAATAGCTTTCCTGTTGTTTCCTCACGGACTCTTGATATTCTTTATGATAGCACCTTATTTTAGCCATTGTTTCATTTCCTGTTGGGTTCCTTCTTCCAGCCTCCTTTGATTTAACTCCACATATTTAGGCAGGATAATACCACACAGGTAAACTGAGGTGCATATATTTAGTTTTAAAAAATACACATAATTCATTCTCCACAGACTATAATAAAATATGCCCTTATTCAGAAAAGCACTTACGCACATGCTTAAGTCTGATTGACTGTAATGAAATGTAAGCATCTTCTTAAAGTTAAGCTTACATACTATCCTGAAAAGAGATCCTTTCCTGAATTTGGTCTTACTTTGTTTTGAGGCATTGAAAGGGAAGGTGAAGCAATAGGATTAAGGTTCCTAACTTCTAAAGTTTAAGATCCTGATCCTGTGATTCTGCTGGTTTGAAAATCAGCTTGGGGGTGCAGTGAACTGCATGACTGGGGCCTAAATTATAAAGTAATTGCTTACTAAACTCATTTCATAAATTGTCTTAGTGTTAAGAGCACCAAAACCGCTTCGGAGACCATTAAGTAGTGTTTGGGGAGGAGCGGGGGAGGTTGTTGGTATTTTTTAAAATTATACTAAATTGTTAGACTGTAAATCACCTTCGGCTAAAAATAGAATCACTCCTGAGCTACGATCTTATTTGAGGACTTTTAGCCCACAGCACCTTTTTATGGCAGTTGTAAGCCACCACAAATATCTATTTCTAATGGAAATATTAATACAGCATTAATTACAATAACACTAAATGTATACTTTCAACTTTAAGTAAAACATCACCACTGTAATTTGTGTCATTTGTAAAAGTGCCTGCTTATTTGAATGCTAAAAGAATACAGAAACGATCATACTTCAGAGTAATACATACACTTTTTGTATATAGATATATTTGAGAGCCAAAGTCTTGAAGGGTCTGCAAGGGTGAAGGCTCTGATTGTGAAATCAGATCTGCACCAGTGGGCCTTGCAGAGGTAGTTTACTGAAGTGGGCTTTGTACAGTCTGAAAGGTGCACTCATTGGGATCCCTTTGCAGGATTTGGGCCTACATTCAGCCCTGGTGAGGGTTAGCTCCATTGTCTTCATTGGAGGGGCACCGCTTACATCAAGGCTAAACTTGGACCTATGTATGGTTCTGCTGATGTCTACGTTGGTTCTAATGAGGTCTGTGTTTTAAAGAGGATAATGATTCTCACTGAAGATGACTATTCAAAGCTTTGTAGTGAATTGCAAGATATGGATCTTATTTATAGGAGTTGTAGACTGATTTCAAAGCAAGGCTGGCAAAGGAAATACAAAAAACCTCTGTTTTTGGCTGCAATGGGACACTTACTACTGAAGATTTGGGTTTTTTTCTAACACATTTTGTAGAGAAAATGAAAGGACTCCTGCCAGGAGACAGGCTTGAGACTAACTTGTTCCCTTGAGTTTGCATTTCTGTTTCCTGGTAGAAATTGAGCGACAATCCTGATCTGATGAAAAATGAACTGAGCGGAGTCTTTGACAGCTCTGCCATTTTGGGTTTTTGATGCAATCTCTCCTGCTCTCATTCAGTGTCCCCCATTTCATGGTGAATCTTGACACTAGCACAGCAGGATTCTGATTGCTTGGGGACCTTGAATTATAGCTGCTGTTGTTGTTTGTTGTTGTTCATTTCTGTTACCACAGAGCCTGGGAGCCCCTAGTCATGAGCCAGGACCCCACCGTGCAAGACAATGTACAAAATCAGAACAAAAAGATGGTCCCTGCCTGAAAGAGCATGGAATCTAAATATGGGACAAGACAGCGGATGGATACGGACTTACAGGGTGCACAAGGAAACAATGAGACTATGTTGGTCAGCATGATGGGTGGTGGTCACAGCACACCCGCATCCTAACTGTTGTCATGTTTTTTGTAGACATCATGACAAAGGAGAATTACAAGGAGAGGTTTGAAGAAAGATAATGCATTAGTTATTCAGATGTTTACCGAGAGCTCTTCCCAAGCATGTGGGGCAGCATGGAAGAAAATATGAAGTTGCTTGTTTGAAAATGTAACAAGTGGGCCGTGGAGGTTGGCATCGTGTGTTGATCAGAGGTGGAAGTCAGCATCTCAGTAGCTAATAAGAGACGATAAATAGGGTGGGAATAAGTTGTGAAGGGCCTGCAAGTGAAGACAAGTGGCTTATGACAGATGCTTTAGAGAAAGGAGAGCCAACAGAGGGATGCAAAGAAAGCTGTTTCATGGTTAAGCTATAGGCTAGAAAAATGATCTTTGCAGCAGTATTACAAATGGATATGAATGGGGCAAGATTACATTTGTCAGTGCTAGAGAAAATGATATTGCAGTAATCAAGATGTGAGATGCTGAGAACCTGGAGGAGAGTGCTAGCTATGTGGATGGATCAGAAAGAATGTATCTTAGAGAGGCAGACAGAATTAACAAGACATAGACATGGCCTGAGTTTGAGGATCTAGAGAACAGTCTGAGTCAAAGAAGATGCTCAGGTTATGGACCTGAGTGACTGGCAGGATGGTGGTGTCCACAGTGATCAAGAAAGGAGGTGGCATGGAGGGCTGAAGTGGACAGGAAGAGATTAAAAGCTCTGTTTTTGCCTCATTGAGCTTGAACTGATGGTTAGACAGCCACAAGGAGAGGTCAGAGAGAGAGGCTGAGATTTTAGTTTGGACAGAAGGAGACAGGTCTGGAGTAAAGAGGTAAAAGGATGGAGTCCTTTGGATCCCCAACAGAAAGTTGGAAAGGGGATGAGAAGGATCCTCTGAAGGACATGCTGGAATGATTAAAGAAGTAAGAGGTGAACCCGGAGAGATCCAAAAAACAGAAGCCAAGGGAGGACAAGATTTCAAAAAGAAGAGTATGATCAACTGTTGCAAAGGTAGCTGACAGGATGAGGATGGAGTACTGGCATTGAGCTTAGGCTAGGAAGAAGTCAGTGGTGGCTGGTGAGAGTAGTTTCAGTGGAAAGGAAGGGTTTGGAAGTCGGATTGAAGGCTGTCTAGGATGGAATTCAAGGAGAGGAACTCCAGACAGTGACTGCAAACAGCATATTTAAAGAGCTTAGAAATTAAAGGGAGAAGGGACGTGGGGTGGTAGTTGGAGAGGCAAGTGGGTCAAGAGTAGGTTTGTTGGTGTGGTTTTTTTTTTTTATGGGAGAGACTAAGACAACTTTTAAGATGAGAGAGGCTTGTATGTGAGGGGAAAGAGTCAGGGGAGAATGAGTGGTGAAGGAGAAGAATAAGGAAGAGGATGAGAGTGGGTGCAAGGGAGATCAGGAAATTGGATGGGATCTCTGGGGCAAGTGGAGCGGTCAGAAAAGGATGGCAGGTGAGAACTTCTGCATCTGCTCCATAGAAAAAGAGCAATTTGTAGTGGGGGGAAAGGAAGGCAAGGTGTGTTGAGAGAAAGTCATATTGTATTTGTCAGTTTTCTCTTGGAAGAAATTGGTAAGACCCTGTGCAGAGAGAAAAGTGGAGGCGCATGAGAGATGGTTTGAGGACCCAGTCAAAGGTGGCAATTATGGTGGCTGGGATTGTGACTATCGGATTCAATTAAGCAGCTAGGAATATGGTAGAACAGAAAGAGGTGAGAACAAATTCATAGTGGAGGAAGTCAGCCTGGATGTAGCATTTCCACCAGAGATGCCCTGCAGCACAAGAGCTGAAACATAGGAAGCAGATGTTGGGGGCAAGCCAGGGCTATGGGTTGGTAGGGCAAAGCTTGTGATGGGAAAGAAAAGCAAAAGAGTCAAAGATGGAGTGAAGAATTGAGAGAATCAACAACCATATCAATGGAAGAAAGGGAAAGAGAGGGCAGGCAAGAGAGAACAGATGAGAAGTCATCAATGCAGATGAATTGGAAGTCATGGAATGGTCAAGTGACAGTGTTGGGGGAGGGAAGGGGCACTGATGGGTGATGCTGAAAGAGACCAGGTGATGGCTGGAGAGGGGGAAAGATCAGAGAGAGAGCAGTGCTTGGTGAAGACCAAGTCCAGTGAATGCCCTTTTGGTGAGTGGCAACAGACTGAGTTCAACAGGGGCTGCAGGTCAAATGAAGAGGTGAGGGCAAGGAAACATGCAGCTAAGGGGTCGCATGGGTCATCTGCATGAAACTTCAAGTCACAAGGGATGAGTATAGAATCATAGAAGATTAGGTTTGGAAGAGACCTCAGGAGGTCATCTAGTCCAACCCCCTGCTAAAAACAGGACCAACCCCAACTAAATCATCACAGGCAGGGCTTTGTCAAGCCGGGCCTTAAAAACCTCCAAGGAAGGAGATTCCACCACCTCCCTAGGTAACCCATTCCAGTGCTTCACCATCTCCTAGTGAAATAGTTTTTCCTAATATCCAACCTAGATCTCCCCCACTGCAACTTGAGACAATTGCTCCTTGTTCTGTCATCTGCCACCACTGAGAGCAGCCTAAATCCCCCCTCACTCTTTTCTCTTCTGCAGACTAAATAAGACCAGTTCCCTGAGCCTTTCCTCATAAGTCATGTGCCCCAGCCCCCTCATCATTTTCGTTGTCCTCCACTAGACTCTCTCCAATTTGTCCACATCCTTTCTGTAGTGGGGGCACAAAATTGGACACAATACTCCAGATGTGGCCTCACCAGTGCCAAATAGAGGGGAATAATCACTTCCCTCGATCTGCTGGCAATGCTCCTACTAATGCAGCCCAATATGCTGTTAGCCGTCTTGGCAACAAGGGCACTGCTGACTCATATCCAGCTTCTCATCCACTGTAATCCCCAGGTCCTTTTCTGCAGAACTGCTGCTTAGCCAGTCGGTCCCCAGCCTGTAGCGGTGCATGGGATTCTTCCTTCCTAAGTTGTCCTTGTTGAACCTCATCAGATTTCTTTTGGCCCAATCCTCCAATTTGTCTAGGTCACTCTGGACCCTATCTCTACCCTCCAGCATATCTAGCTCTCCCCCTAGCTTAGTGTCATCCGCAAACTTGCTGAGGGTGCAATCCATCCCATCATCCAGATCATTAATGAAGATGTTGAACAAAAGACGACTGAGTGGTGGAAGACAGAGAAAGCCAAGAGTCAAAGAGAGGAAGGCTGATGGGGAGGAGTTGGTGGGCAGTAGGTGACAGCAACATTGAGAGGCAGAGAAGAGTTGGATGCAGTGCTGGTCAAAAGAGGAGAAAGGATGGGACAGGGAAGAAGGGAGAGGTGGGAAGCAGCAGGAGAGGCAGAGGAGAAGTCCAACACCCCCAACTTGGGCTGATTCAGGGTGGGGAGTGGGAGAAGAAGAGGCCTCTATAAGATGAAGGACTCCAGGTCTCTGTGAGAGCCAAGAGCTGGAGGAAGCAAGATATGAAGAGGTTGGAGATGGCTGGGAATTTTTTTAGAGATGGAGTGCGTGTTCCAGAGAAGGGCAGAGGTGAAGGAGGAGGATGGGCGTGAGGTTACAAATGGGGACACGAGAAGGGCGGCAGTGGTGGCAGAGGAGCGTAGGAGGTAAAGAGGGAGGGCCAGGGCTGGGGCAAATGTCACCAGAGGTAAGGAGGAGAAGGCAGAGGAGGGTGTGGATTTGGGATCTGGATTTGTGCTGGTAGGAAGAGCGGGGAGATTGGGATGAAGAGGAGCATGTAGAGGGGGAGAGTAACAAGGATGTGGAAATGGAGCCAGTGAGGGGAAGGAAGAGGGAGGAGGAGAAGGAGATGATGGATGATATGATGCTCCAGGGGTGTGATGAGAGCCATGGGTGAGCAGCAGATGGACTATGATTACAAAGAGAAAAAAAGGAGAGTTTGAAAAATGCTGTGCGGGTACTTGGGGTGGGGGGATTGGGACAGAATTGGTTCCCTGCTTCTGATACTAGACAGCCTGAGTGCTTTTCCCAGGGATGGGAAGGAGACAACCAAGTTGCACTGCTGCAAGGATCTGGGTGAGAGGGGAGGATCACTGAAACAGGGGTGGCTCCGTAGTGGTTGTAGCCATAGGGCAGGGGAGTGGCCTCATGGAAAGGGTGGAATGGGGGCAGGGCCAGGGGTGAGGGTCAAGCACCCATGGGAAAGAGGGGAAGTCGGCGCCTATGCTTCTAGCAGGACCCTCTGGAGGTCTGGTGAAAAAAGTAACTATAGAAATGATGCTCTGAAGAACTACAGCTTTCAGCAAAGAGAAATACCAAAAATGAGCACATTTTTCTGCAGAGTACAATTAATTCAGCCTGCTATTTGGAAATTGAGCAGCTTCCTTTGTGTTTCCAGCATTGTAACTATTAATAAAGTCATCAGTTGTTTATCCAGTGCCAAAACGAGCATGGCAATTTACAAATAGAGTAAAACAGGGTCCCTTGTCCCAAAGACCTTTAAGATCTAATGCCTGGTTGCATGTAGCTCTTTGCAAGATCAGGGGCTAAATTTAGTCACGATGACCAACATTTTCTAGACTCCTAAGTCTATATTTATGGCCTAAGTGTGGGATTTTCAAAAGTGACTTAGGAGCCCAAGTCCTGCCTCTGAAAATGTTGACCATTATGGAGAAAGCGAACAAGATATGGGAGGACTTAGGGAAAAGGAGGACGTTGGTAATGTAAATGAGATTGTTTGCTTGGGTTTATGCATGCATCTTGATGGCACTTTTTATTTTTAAATAGTAAATTTTATGTGCAGCTTAGAAGTTGACAGTTTTAATTATAGTTTTGTATTCCATAATCTATAGCTACCTGACAGTTTTCTTTTTTGATGAAAGGTGGAATAAAATGCAGCTTGATCTTCAATAGTATATTAGCTTTGCAACAGTGACAGATCTTTATTATTTAAGCACTGGCAGTCTACTCAAAAGCTGTATAAGAGACAGATACCACATGGTCCCTGCACTAAGAGAGCTAATCATTCCAAGGCTCTAACCCTGCATACATTTACACACATGAGTAACTTTACATGTGTGATTAGTCCCAATGACTTCAGTCATAATATCGATAACCGTTCCCCCAAAAAAGTCTTTAGTGTGTAAAGTTACTCATATGCACAAGTATTTGCAGGATGGAGGTCTGAAAGACAAAGATTAAACTAAATCTCCCCGGTAGCCCAATGATTGAGTATAGTTAGTATACTGATTATTTTTATTTTATAAATTGTGTTGGTAATAGATTTATATTGACATTGATTAATGTTTGTAGTTAAGACCTAGGTTTCTTTGCTAGTAAACTAAGGTGACATGGCTAAATAGAAAAATCATAGGAAGCAGATCTGTGCAATTTTAGTATCTGTTTAATACAGTATATGCAATGTAAGTTAATATAATAGCTGTTTGCTGCTTTGGCATTCATATGCTAGCTGTAAATTCATCTTCAATAATTGACACTGGTTGTGCTGGAGTTAAAGCAAAGCACAAGTTCTTACATACCTTATGTAATGCTCACAAGGTATGTAGGAACAATATCCACGTGATACTGCATTGCAAAACCATAATATATCGCATCACCATTTGTAGGGTGAAGTAAGTGTTGTTTCCTGTAGCAATGAGATTAGTATGTTGTTTTGCTGAAGACCATTACTCATCCTCTCTCCTTTTGTCTCACTACCTTTCATATTTTTTATAGATTTATTCTTACGCATGCACCTGTACAGAATTGTGTGTTTCCTAGTAGACAAAGAAGCACTCTGTGCTTTGTAGGGTAAATGTGGCTCTCTGAAAGTTGCATTCACTAACTTCCTTGAACTGCCATAAAATAATAAAGCATTTGTTTGGGGGGTGAGATGAAGGGAATATTTCAGTTCCCTGTGTTAGTTTATTTTGTTTGTTGGCACTACTTATCCAAAGCTGACAATGGGAAATGCTCGCTTCTTTACATTGGGACTGCAACATAGCTTCCTCCTGATTCTGCCATGCTGCCAATTGCTCTTATGGCACATTTCCTTGTGGTTGGATTGATGGCGTATGTGCTCTTTCCCAAGGCTACATTCCAGAATTCAGTAAACAGTGGCTGCTTTAAGAGCAGTCTCTTCTGGGTCCTTTCCAAGACATTGATGTTTGTAAACTTTGTGATATCTTCTCTATTTAGCAGTTTTGTTTTTATAAAAAATAAACAAATTGTCATTATCACTCACCTTTATGGCATAACATGAATAAAATAATCAACAGTCATCGCAACTGTACAAAAACCAAATTTCATGATTGGGAATGGTAAATATATATAAGTAAATGATATAAAATAAAATCATTAGTTTCTTTTGAACTGATTCAGGAGCACTCTGAAAGAAACCAAGAATTCAAAATGATCATGTAATTACACCTCTACCCCGATATAACGCAGTCCCCGGGAGCCAAAATATCTTACCGTGTTATAGGTGAAACTGCATTATATCGAACTTGCTTTGATCCACTGGAGTGTGCAGCCTCGCCCCTCCGTAGCACTGCTTTACCACGTTGTATTCGAATTCATGTTATATCGGGTCGCGTTATATCGGGGTAGAGGTGTATTTTTTACTATGTCATGCAATTCATAAGCATAAACCACATAAACCATACTTTTTATTTATAAACAGCTATATTGCCAATCCCAAGTATTCCAAAATCATGAGTCAGGATTACAAAATCATGAAATTGGTTTGAAAACCATGAGATTGTTTCAAAATACTATATTTTGCGTTCTTTTCATTTGACTTCTGGTTTCTGAGCATTCAGCTACTCTTGCTTCATGTGTTCTTGCTTTTCTCTGCAACCATAAAGTCTGGAAAGTTACTTCTTTTAGGAAATAAAAGGTCAGATTCTCAAATGATCTCATGATTTAAGCAGCTGGGGCTTTCAGAAAAGCACTAAATATCAGGAGAGTACTGAAACACTGAAACAGTTTCTCTAAATTAACCAGTGATTTAAAATTACACTGAGCAGAAGGTTTTGAACAGTGCCAAAACAACACTATTGCTCAAGCTTGATATCTCTTGACCACTTCCAGGTAGCAAATAAATGCTTATAAACACTGAGAGTTCTGGGTTGACTGAGATCACATCTGAAAGGGACACTGCTAAGAGAGGTCCCAGAGATAGCTTTTATAAAAATAACATCAATAACAATGTTTTCAATAAATTAATGCTTTTGAATTTCTCTGGGAAAAAGCCCATTTAAAGAAATATTTCCCAGCAGTGTTTGCAGCCTGAACACCATGGCATACTGCTAACATTTGAGAACCAGAAAGTGAAACTAAAAATATGCAGTAACAAAATTGAATAGTTTATTTTTATTGTCCAAGGTGAATTAAATTCAAACAGTGAAGAGCATAAATGGTGGAAAGGAAACTAGATTTCACAAATTTCAGTTTTAATATCCAACATGGATGATGAGGCTGGTGAGACAAAGTGAGAAAAACACTTCAAAAATATAATGGACCAGGTCATCACTTGGTGCAGTCCACTGGCTGTAATGGAGCTGTGCCAATTTAAACCAGCTGAGTATCATGGGCATTCATTTTATATGCACAGTTTCACTTTAAAAGTCACACAACTCCGGTTGCTACTTGCTTTTTCTCCCTCCATTCTGTTCCAAACTGGTCTAAGCCCTGCTGTTTTAAGAACTGCTAAGGCTAAAAAGCAATGCTTTATACCATCTGAAAGCTCTGACTCATTCAAATGGTAGAAAGCAATCCATCTAAGTTGAGCGTTTATCAAGCTACTGAATCCCACATTTGAACTGAAGTGGGGGAGAAGATGTTTATCAGAATGATGGGTCTTCCTAAGTCCTTCTACAGAGCGCCCAGGTTCTGCAAGGCTTTCATGTGCCAGTGAAAGTATGAGTGGAGGTTTATGCATTGGTACAAATAAGGTTAGCTACTTGCTAGGCAGTGGTCTGCAGTAGACGGTACTAAGCGTTAAGCCATCTGTGTATCCATTTCCTTCCTCACAAATGTGCCAAGTTTAAAAGCCTAGAATGTAAGTGAAGAATAGGTATTCCTGAGGAGACATGGGGTGAAATATTGGCCCCATTGAAATCAATATATTTCATTCATTGACTTCAGTGGGGTCAGGATTTCACCCTAGGATTTAGGTCTAGTCCTCATCATGCTAATGAGGTATTTGGCTACATATTTCTCTTACGACTTACTCCTATCCACATCATCCCCTTTTCCAGTCATGAAAAACATAGCCACTAAAATCACTTTCCTTGCCTGTACTTCTGATCACACCAGTCCATGTCTGAACCCCTCTGCTTGCTCAAGCAACACATCAGATTGTCTCCTTATCACCATCATGTCTTGCATAAATCTGCTTCCTCCCTACTTGTCAGGCCAAGTCTTTTATCATATCACTCTGCCTGCTCCTCCTCACTGGAGATGCCAGCCTTTTCCTGCAACTGCCTGTGCTTTCTTCCCTTTACTCATGGAGTCTCTTTTCTGGAGTGATCTACAGAGCTACTACCCTCTCCAACTTTAAATCCCTTTTTAAGATCCAGTTCTGTGATGCTTACAAACTATCTGACTAAATAATCACTTATCTGTTTCATTCATCTCATGATTGACTCACTTCTTCGCTGATCCCTACAAAAAACTTGCTGATTAAGTCTACTTCCTCTTTCAATGTAACTATAATTAAAAACAAATTCATTGCTCCATCCTGCTTTGCATTGGCCTTTGCTGAGTTTCTATGTAATCTAAGATAACCAGTTGTATAATCTTACTGATGTTGCCCTGGTTCTTCTCCTCTACTTTTCCCCATTGTCTTGTTTGTCCCCCTTTTTTGCGTCTAGTCAGAAAAGAGGTCCTGATCCTGCAATGGGCTTCAGATGAGTAGACCTCTGCCCCTCATGGAGCTCCATTCAGTTCAGTAAGGTGCCATGCAAATGTGGAGCTCCATCCACATGGAGTACAGGAACTGAGCATTAGTTTGTGAACTACTTATGGCAAAACTTATGTCTTTATGCAGGAGCTCTTAGCACAAATTTGGGAGCCATTAAAATATATAGTATTACTACTAACCATTGACATCTCACTCTTACACATACGATTGTTGTTGAATTTTCAACTAGATTTGTTACTCAGTAAAAGGCTTCCTGTAAGTTAATGTGTTAAAGATTATCTCTTTATGCTCATGCTGTCTCCAGCAACTGCAGATTGTGTTCTCAACACTTTCAGTAGGCAACTTCAGTTTTCTTAGCTGAACTGAATTTATTTTAATGGGAAAGTAAAAATGCAGGGATGGTATTAAATAGGGGAAGTACAGTTTGATTATTGATTAGCCGAACAAATAGTTTTCAAATGTCCTATGCATTGTCAGAAGATAAAGTGTAAATAAACCAATTTTTCCCTCATTCGCAACATAATGAGCAGTATTTGTTTGGGGCTTGCTATATGTTATATAGACTACTGTATTGAAAATTAAGTCCCTATTCCTTCAAATGGTTACATACATGCTTAACTCTATGTATCTGAGTACTCCCACTGAAGACTGTGGGTTGCTCAAATGTGTAAAATTGAGTGCACGCTTAAATGTTTGTGGGATTGGAGCCTTAATTGCATATATGTTCATTTATACTGGTGATTTGTTTGTTAGTAATGGTTCCTGAGGCAACTTTTATAGTCTGACAGTGGCTATTTCGAAATTTTAATCTGGTGTCAGTAGATTTATGAAGACGTTGTATACCATGCAAATGCTCGCTAGGCATAATTAATATTTGCTAGACAGTGTGGCATCATCCTATAATTACTAAAGGCTCCAGTCTGTTCACTAAGGGCTAGAGTTCAAATCCTTATATTCCCTAAGAGCGCCTTGAGTTTGGGCAGGAGTTGGAAAGCAAAATTAATGAAGCTAATTCTCTGGTTATTTTCCATGCCAGATGGGGACAGGGTAGTACCTAGGGATGAAAAATATCATTAGGAGTTGGTAATTGTCAGGAAGATTGCAAGAGAGCTATCTTTGAATATTGGAGGTTGTCTCCAAATAGCTCTCCCAGAGATCACTTTCAGGTGATACAGCAGGTGGAAATAGAATCATAAACTCAAACTTTCTCATGTTGACTTTGGACTGTTACATCATGAGGCCTTGCCTAGCAATGCCAGGATAGATCATGTTTTTTAATTTTTTTTAATTTTCTCTTAGTTCAACTTATGATACCAAAACAAGACAGAAGGTGGCAGTAAAAAAGCTTTCAAGACCTTTTCAGTCACTTATTCATGCAAGAAGAACCTATCGAGAGCTTAGGTTGCTTAAGCACATGAAACATGAAAATGTAAGTGAAAAGTTTGTACTTTGCATTCTGTTTCTATAAATGAAAGTTTATAAACCGAAGTTTAATTTACTTTACCTACACTTATTATTGGAAAAGTATATGTGATCCCTGTCTTTCCAAGAAACGGTTGCTGGTTCAGGGATTGATCCTAAATCCATTGACGCCAATGGGAAGACTTCCATTGACATGAATGGGTATTAATAGACACTAACGAGGTGTCTTTTGTTGAAAATGTGTTGTTACCCTAGTAGAGAAGGGCAGAGTAAAGCATCAAACCCAAATAAAACTCAAATCTGCATGTGTCAGTTTGGGATTCTACTGAGAAATTAAGGCCAGATTCTGTTCTCATATACGCTCATAGAGCTCTCACTGAAGTTAATGGGAATATAACGTACTTATCTGAAGACTGAGTTTAGTCTTTGACCTGGGTGCAAGCTGCTAGGATTTATGGCTCCGATTCAGCAAAGTACTTAGCATGTGCCTAACTTTAAACCCAGTCACATCAGTTTCAATGGGATTACCAATTTACTTAACGTTAGGCAGACGCTTAAGTACCTTGCTGAATTGGGGAATTCCTGTTAATTTCCCAGACTTAAACTAAAATGAAAATGAATCCAGTCTCTGACAGGAAATTACTCAATACTCATAGTTGAGAAGTGGTGATACAGTAGATTGAAAAGTATGCTGGAGGGAGGTTACAATTATTTCAGTAAGTATGTTACAAGAAAACATGTAAAGCATTACTTAGCTTTAAGTACAATAGAAGCAAATCGAAATCATACACTACTTGTTCTATAATGGAAGATTAGGTCTTCTCCTTCTTGACTTTAGATTATCTGAAGTCTTGTTCTATTTTTTCATAAAGTAATGTAATTTTGGTTTGCCCTGAGAGATAATTTTTCTTCTAGTGGCAAAAACAAAACAAAAAAACCAGTCCTCTTCATTCAGTACTATGCTGGTTTTGTTAAATATTCAGGGTGAAATCATGTTGTTCATATACATAGTTCCAGGGATTCTGAGGACAGCTAGCATAAATGATGTGTTATGTCATGAATTTCTGAAATAAAAAGGAGATCACCTTTTCTGTTTCAGGTTATAGGATTACTAGATGTTTTTACACCAGCAACTTCAATAGAAAATTTTAATGAAGTGTAAGTAAAATTTAACATCAGTGTGACTAATTGGTAAGCTATGAAGATAGATGCTTCAATGTTGCTGGAAAACAGATACACAGTTTTCTAGTCTAGCTACAGCCAAAATGAGCTTTGAGAGACTAATGTGCCTTTGGTCCCCTTTTCAAAAAAAGGGGAAGGGGATTCTGCCCGAAGGCCTTTGGGCATGGTACTTAATAGATTGCAGGGACTCTATTACTGTACCTGGCACGTGATTTGATCTTCTGTATGTCTCACTAAATTTGTGGTCTGATCACCTTAACCTTGATTTTGGATGTGGAGTGTTTATTCTAGCCAGCATGAGTGACGTCAGCCATGTAAGGAATGCAGGAAAATATTCTGCAGTGGGTGATGACATCTCTGGGCCTGATTCTCCTCTCATCTAGTATTAGTTTTACACTGGTGTAGCTTCATTAACTTTAGTGGAGTTACTACTCCAGTGTAAGTCAGGAGCAGGTGAGAGAACAATTAGGCCCTCAGTCTTTTAGGAGAAACACTGGGTGAAATTCTGACTTTATTGAAGTCAGTGGCAAAACTCCCATTAATGTCAACAGGGCCAGGATTACACTCTCAGGGCTTGTCTATACTTACGCGCTGGTTCGGCGGCAGGCAATCGAACTTCTGGGTTCGATTTATCGCGTCTTGTCTGGACGCGATAAATCGAACTCAGAAGTGCTCCCCGTCGACTCCGGTAATCCTGCTTGCCGCGAGGAGTATGCGGAGTCGACGGGGGAGCCTGCCTGCCACGTCTGGACCGCGGTAAGTTCGAACTAAGGTACGTCGACTTCAGCTACGTTATTCACGTAGCTGAAGTTGCGTACCTTAGTTCGATTTGGGGGTTTAGTGTAGACCAAGCCTCAGAATCTAGAATCTACGGCATAGCCAGTAAATTAATTGGTTAAAGTTGATAGAATGCTTTGAACACTTGAAGTGCCAATAAATAAAAAACTTGATTTTCAAATATTTGTTTTCAAAATGTAGTTGGTTATAGGTATTAGCCTGGGTGTTTGGGGTCTGATCACATAACCCTTGCTCGCTCCATTCATGGGATTACTCATGTGAATAAGGGTATGAGGTACCTGAGCTACATAGTTATTCAAGTGGACACATTTCAATGTTGAACAGAGTCAAAACAAAACAATTCGATCTTGGTTGACAAACCAAATGAAACGTTTGATTCAGGAATGTCAAAATGTTTTTGTTTCAGTCAAAAAAACGGAACCAAACATTCTGATATTTCCAAATGGAAATTTTTCAGAATTTTCTATTCTGTGAATTTTGACTTTTTATTCCAATTTAGGATGAAAACTAATTTCAAAATATCAGAATTTCCCAAGGGACTCAAATTTTGTCCATCTCTACTCATTGAACGGAATCTGTGTTGTAGCAGGAGCCTTACAAGGAAAACCAGGCCTGATTTTTTTATGGGAGATTTGCCTTTGACTTCAGTGGGAACAGATGGGAACCCAGATAGATTCAGTGTGGTCTTTCCTGGCCAACAGTTCTCTTGTTCTATGATCATGGTTTGTCTTGCTACAGTTGCAGTGAGAATACACTGACCACATACCTATGGCTATGAACTGCTATTGTTATATGATATTTTTTTTCTTAAATTTCCCAACCTACTGATTTTGTACAAACTTGTCTGGCAAAAAGACATTAAATGTCTTATGGACTGTAAGGCAAATGATTAAACTCCTAATTTGGGGGAAGGAGGTGATTTTTATCTCCCTATTGATGGATGGGGAAGGAATATTCACGGGAGTGAGTAATTAATATTAAATTAAACAAATTAGATTTACCTGCTGCTTGTCAGAAATAAGTTGTTTTATTTTTACAGGTATCTTGTGACAAATTTAATGGGTGCTGACTTGAATAATATTGTAAAGTGCCAGAAGCTAACAGATGACCATATACAGTTTCTCATCTACCAGTTACTTAGAGGTCTTAAGGTACATGCTGCATGATGGCATTTATTTTATACCGAGCAACCAAAATGTTGTAATAATGAATATTTCATTGGAAAGGCAACATTTGAATTCATTTTCAGAGCTGAATAGACTTACAAATACTCATGACATCTCTGGTGATTTCTTTTTATAAACCATAGTAAATTTACAACTCCCCAGATTCCTTTCAGAACTAAAGACAAGACCCCAATCCTTCAAATACTTACACACAAGTTAGACTTCACACACGTGAGTAGCCCCATTCATTTCAGTGGGACTACTTGTGTGTAAAGTTAAGCACCTCTGTAAGCATTTGCAGGATTGGGGCCTATGACTCGTAAAATGCTATAGTGGGATTACAAGATTATAGACTCGCAATAATTTCATATCTAATCAGCTCAATTTGTACATAAAATATGTCTATTTTTCTAATTGTCAGTGCTGTAAACTCACCCTTGGATAAGAAAGGCACATCAGGCTATTTCTTTCTTGGATATTGGCCTCAGTAATAAAGATCCTGCAGGCTTAATTATGCCCTCTTGTTGATATGCCAAGAAGGAAAAAACCCATCTTGACTTTCACATCCCAAGGCAAGTTCACAGAGCTGAAAATTATAAGAAACAAATGCATCTTTTTACTTGTAAACTGATCAAAGTTTGATAAGGAGACCCTGAGAGACAATAAACATGAAACCCCAAGGTGCCGTTTATACAGTCATTTTTCAAAGTACAGTTGCTCTTCAAACGTTAGGTAAATTGTACCTGAAATATGGAACTGTTCTTTTTTTAAAAGTCCTTGCTCGGATTTCACCTTATCTTATCAGCATCCTAAGAGTGTTTTCCTCTTGTTTGTTGTGAAAAGCAAGGACTCCCATTAAAATGAGCACATGAATATCTGCTTGTAGCGAACCCACCATCCCTCTTCAATATAAATGCAGTTACACATCCGTGTATTTTGTGTGTGAAGAGTCTAGCTTGTAGCTAGGGTATGCATCTATTGACTTGCTTAGGAAGGCAGTATGTGGATGCAGATGATCAAAATGGAGGTATGAAATGAATGTCTTTTTATCAAATACTATATAGTCAATCATCTTTTTATAGAAGGGTGTGTATTACAGCTCTAAGGATATCAGTATAGTTTTCATGGTTAGTTTTCTTGAAGTGTTCATATTTGAAAGAGAGAGAGAACACTTATATCTAGGAGCAAATCAGTGACACTTGTGCTACCTGCCTGATAGTATTTGTGATTGCTGCTCAGATAAGATTTAAATCAGAAAACATTCCTAACTCTTTATAAAACCACCAAACACAGGGGACAAAAAATATGAATAGAACAAGTGACTGTTACCTTTTTTCCACTTTTTTTTCCTAATCTTGCTTTCTTATCTTCTTTTCTTTATTCCACAGTATATTCACTCAGCTGGAATCATCCACCGGGTGAGTTCAGTTAGCTAGAGAATACGAATCAATGCAGTGTGCACTGCCCAATGTCAGGCTTGATATTGTTACAATACTAATTTAACCTTATTAGGTGTGCATGACTAACGCTGTGTTTGTTCTGATACAGGACTTGAAACCCAGTAACCTAGCTGTAAATGAAGACTGTGAATTAAGGGTAGGATTCATGCTATTTTGATGAAGGTTCTTGTAATATCTCTGGAACTAGAACTTTAACTGCCATTTTTATGTTAGTACACATCCATGTATTTAGTTACTGTTGCCATACTGGCAGAGGAAAAAATAAATTGCATTAACAATATTTGTGAGGATACATATATTAACTACTATTTCAGGTACCGTGTGCAAATTGTTTACAGTGAATAAAAATCCTCTTAACATTTAAAAACTGAGAATAGGAAGCACTTAGGTTAAAAAATGGGCTTATGGGCCCAAAATTTTAGCTGATACTCCAAGTGACAAGACTCCAGGATCTGGCCCCACATGTTGAGGTGAAGCACTACATACAGCAACTACCCTACATGTACAGGACATACACTTATAGGAAGTTAACAATGATTAAACTGGCTGAAATATATAAAAGGGTACTTTGGTAAAGCAAACACCAGTATTACCAACCCCAGGTGTTCAAAAATCATGAGTCAGGCCCCAAAAATCATGATTTTTTTTTAAATAAATTGTGGATCATTTTTTGTTGGGTTTTCTTGGCCTTCTGGATTATCGTTGTTCTTGTTGGTTGTTTATCATTTGTATCATCGTAGCACCTAGAAGCCCTAATGGTGGACCAGGACCCCATTGTGCTAAGTGCTGTATAAACATAGAACAGGAAGACAGCCCCAACCCCAAAAAGCTTAGAGTTTTCTGAGCCTTTAGGGTATACTCCCTTCCCATTTTCAAGACTTTCTCCATAGTCATCAGAGTCAGAACAAACTTCTTCTTTTTTTTTTTTTAAATGAAAGCAGAGATATGATGTCGGCTTTACTCTGACATTTTAAAGAAAACACCAAATTCCATGAGACCTGCAACAAAATCACAGTAGTTGACAACACACCCAGTACAGTGCAGTGGACCTGAGGACTAACGCCCCTATTCACCTCAGTGGCAGTTGAGGAAGCTCAGCAAATATCATGACTGGCCTTTAATATTTTCATACCTGTATGTGGAGTCTCATTTTTGAGGGATTATAGGAAGTCTTTGCCTGATCATTCTCTTTATAAAAGTCCATGTTACTCTTTATACTCTAGGGTGATAAAGGAGACTTCAGATCTTCTTTTCTAAAATTTACACACCACCCAACCTCCTCTCTCCTCACCTACTCTTTGGCTGGGTTACATTCCGTTTTTCATTATTTTCATTACTTATTCGCTTGTATGAGGCCAAACTGCTATGGAAAAATCTAAATTGGTGGTGCTTTAAAGAGTAGCCAAAAAGGAAATAAAAAGTGTATCAACATATTTGAGCAAGAAATGATCAATAATGAAAAATCTAAAAATACATTGTTGCAAAATGCCCTTTCCTTGTCCTAGGCAGATGAAATTCAATGTTGATAAATGCAAAGTAATGCACATTGGAAAGCATAATCCCAACTATACGTATAAAATGATGGGGTCTAAATTAGCTGTTACCACTCAAGAAAGAGATCTTGGAGTCATTGTGAATAGTTCTCTGAAAACATCCACTCAATGTGCAGTGGCAGTCAAAAAAGTGAACAGAATGCTGGGAATAATTAAGAAAGGGATAGATAATAGGATAGAAAATATCATGTTGCCTCTATATAAATCCATGGCCCACATCTTGAATACTGTGTGCAGATGTGGTCGCCCCATCTCAAAAAAGTTATATTGGAATTGGAAAGGGTTCAGAAAACTGCAACAAAAATTATTAGGGGTATGGAATGGCTTCTGTATGAGGAGAGATTAATAAGACTGGGACTTTTCAGCTTGAAAAAGAGATGGCTAAGGGGAGATATGATTGAGGTCTCTAAAATTGTGACTGGTGTAGAGAAAGTAGATAAGGAAGTGTTGTTTACTACTTCTCAAAACACAAGAACTAGGGGTCACCCAGTGAAATTAATAGGCAGCAGGTTTAAAATAAACAAAAGGAAGTATATCTTCACACAACGCACAGTCAACCTATGGAACTCCTTGCCAGAGGATGTTGTGAAGGCCAAGACCATAACAGGGTTCAAAAAAGAACTAGATAAATTCATGGAGGATACGTCCATCAGTGGCTGTTAGCCAGGACGGGCAGGAATGATGTCCCTAGCCTCTGTTTGCCAGAAGCTGGGAATGAGTGACAGGGGATGGATCACTTGATGATTACCTGTTCTGTTCATTCCCTGTGGGGCACCTGGCATTGGCCACTGTCGGAAGACAGGATACTGGGCTAGATGGACCTTTGGTCTGACCCAGTAGGGCCATTGTTATGTTCTTAGTGTTGCAGATTCTAGTCAATATTCATATGGCTCTTGCTTCAGATGTTGTATTTCATTATTTGCCTATTTAGAGAAAACTAATACATAGAAGTAGATACCAGAAAGCAAAGAAATAAACTGAAACATAATGCTTTCTCTTGGACATAAGCTTTCCAAAAGGAGGGCATTCAGTGGGCGCTATTGTGCCATCAAATGTGTGTGTGGTATTTTTAAGAACAAGTCACTTTTCATTTCAATGGGGTGTTAGATGGTACTCTGTGAGCTTTTCCTTATGCAGCTTACATATGCCTCTCTTAGTGGCATCAAAATGTGTGTGATTGAATAAATGCTATATGTGTTACAAGGCCTAAACACAAATAGCTGAGCTAAGGAAACATTGGGGCATTTGTGAGTAATACAGTGGTGCTTTTAATATGTCATGATCTGATATTTTTGGGTGTTGGCATTTTATACCTATACAATTCAGGCTTAATTTTCTTTGTTGATATTCTTCAGCTCTGATATACTAGCAGTGATTATGGCTATCAATGTAATGTTATAGGAAAAATAAATTGAAGGTCAAATTCAGAGTTTGTGTAAAAGGGTCCAATTCCATTTAAGCTCCAACTTTGCCATCATATTACCATGGAGAGACCCTGGCACCAGCACATAGCCCTGATTACTTTAATGGGGCACTGCATAAGTCGGTCCACTTACATCAAGGTCAGGTTCTTAGTCATTAAAGGACTCCATCTTTCTTAGTATTACCAGAAAGCATGAGATGGGGAGCAAACTTGGCTGGGTATGAAATGTTGAGGGTCGAATTCATTGCAAGCTGAGGTGTTTTGATGGCTGAAGTAAGCCAGAAATAAAGAACAGGGAACAAATCAACTCCTATAATAAAAATAATGAGAAATCTTGATTTTTTTTTCTTCTGTAGATTTTAGACTTTGGTTTAGCCCGACAAACTGATGATGAAATGACTGGATATGTAGCAACAAGATGGTACAGAGCCCCAGAAATTATGTTAAACTGGATGCACTATAATCAAACAGGTAAAGTAAGATACTTATTTTTAAACTACAAACAATATAGTCACAACAGGAAAAAGCAACTGCATTTAATCATTTTTATTATGTTTATCATGCATCTCTCTCTTTCTCTCTCCTTATTTTTGGCAGTTGACATTTGGTCAGTGGGATGCATCATGGCAGAGCTATTGAAAGGCAAGGCTCTTTTTCCAGGAAATGACTGTATCCTTAACATAAAATGCAGTTACATGAAGTGCAAATGCACCACAGTTCTTCATGTTCTCTAATCACCAAAATGTTCTTAAGGCTATATTTGCCAGGTAACAAGCCTTTGATACAGCAAACTGAGCTTTGCTAATTGTTCAATTTACTATATATGACTGCTGAACATAACAACCATCAGAAGAAAAAGCAATAACAGATGTTCTTAAACCACAAGAAGCTACATGCAATCTTTATTTTATGCCTGATATTTAAATAATGACCTAGTTGCAGAAGGATTGATTTCTTTCATTTGTGCAGCTTCTCAAAAACAACATACATTTATTAAAATTGAATTAATATGCATGTCACTTACTGTTGTAGAACTGCTGTTTTTATTTGTATGTAGGCAAGAGAGGCAACATAAAAATCCCTCATTCCAACATAAAGTAGTGGAACTATTATGGTTCATGGTGCAATATTGATGGGCTCTATTGCAGCCTATGTTGTTTCTCTGACTGATAGGAGGGCAGAAAAGGCAGTTGCTGAGTAGGGTAGAATAATAGTAAAAGGAAATGCAGAGGAAGTAAAAATGGAGACTGAAGAGACTGGATGATAAAGAAATGATTGCTAGATCACATCAGAAAACCTCTCTGCATTCAAAACAGAGGCACAGTGTACATCAGATTCTGTTGTGTTCCACACTAAAGGCATGCCTACATTACTGTCCTAACTTGACCTATGTTAGGTGAACTTACAGCCACCACAGTAATTATTGCAGTGGCTGAGCTAACCTCCTTCTCTTGGTGGTGCGCATCCTCACCAGGAACGCTTCCACTGACCTGAAGAGGGACAGTTTGGGGGACTGAGAGCCAGGGCTCTCAGCTCCACGCAGCTCCCTGCTGGAGCCACCTGGGCTTCTTGCCTCCCTGAGTGGGCAGTAGGGAGCCTCTGGGCAGCAGCCCCTCTGGGAGCATGGTGCCGGGGGGAGCTGGGCTATAATTGTCCAGCTTTCTTGTCAGTTTCTGGAGCTGTGAAATTGACAAGACAGCCAACAGCCCATGTAAGTAATGCATCTACAGATGCATCACCCTAACTTCACTGACATAAGCCCTGCACCTCTTGTGGAGGTGGCATTATTATGTCGGTGTAGTAGGGCACTTACATAGTAGCTGCCTTACGTTGACCTAACTGTGTAGTGTAGGCCAGGCCTGACTGTTCTCGCTACTCTGAAAAGCGAAAAAATCCTAACATTGCAGCTAAAGCTAGAATATGGCCAGATGTGGAAAAGTCATGATGGTATTATAGATCTCTGAAAAACAACTAAGACATGGTAACATCTTGCCATTGAGCTTTCTGTAGGTTTAAATCGGTCAGACTGTATTGTCAACAATGGGGCCAGAGCATCACTCAGATGTTCTTAATACCTGTTGCTTCACATCCCTTGACTAAGGTGGTGTTTCTGACTATTTTTGGTAAGCTGGTATGTATTGTTTTCAAAAATAGGATTTTTACATAATATAGACTTACCAGGGTTGTTGTTCCTTTTTTCTTGTAAAATGCAATCTAGGGTTATAGTTTCATCAACTTCACTGAGACTTTAAATTAATCTTGAATCACTAGAGGAAATGTTAATGTGGTTCACTTTTCAGATCATATACTAACTCAGGAAATGTACATTTTAAAGATTATGGGCCTGGTTCTACACTCCTTTGTCCCAGTACAAAGTGGGTGTAATATGCTACCCAGTCAGAATTCTCCACTCAGCCCCCGAGTCAGCAGTCAGCCCTGTTCAGCAAAGTACTTGAGCATAGGCTGAAATTGTTAAGCACGTGCTTTAACCCCATTCAACTCAAAGTTAGGCATATGACTGTGTTGAACTGGGACCTTACACTGGTGGTAGCATTTTACACTCTCATTCCACAAGTGTAAATGAATACACGATGTTCTGGGCAGTGGACAATAAGACACTCTGGACCTAATCTTCAGTTGGTATAAATTGGCTAACTCCATTGCATTCAATAGAACTGTGTCCCTTCCTCCACCTGAGGATCTGATCATCTGTGCAGGAGTTCGGGGTTTATTTAAATACACAAGGCTTGTCTGTTGCTTACTTTTACTATCTTTCCTGGAGTTTTCTTGAATACTTGCAGATATTGACCAACTAAAGAGAATAATGGAAGTTGTGGGAACACCCAGTTCTGAACTTCTCAAGAAAATATCATCAGAACATGTGAGTTCACTGTTAATAATTTACTTTTTCATAATAATTGGTGTGGTATGCCATTGGTTGTGTTAGATAGCGTGCTGCTCAATTCCAAATACAAAAAGCTGTTTAAAATCATTGCTTTTTTGCTGCTAGTGGCAACATTCAGCAAGTGGGGTAAAAATTTTCAAAAGTAACTTTGAAGATGTCATCTTTCAATGAGACTTATCTCCTAAGTTGCTTAGGTGCTCTTAAAAATGTTAGAGATTAGTTTTAGTACTTGAAAAAACAATCACTGAATATGTGAGAATGTATTCAGTAATCTCGCAGTCAGTTTGGATGATCCTTTGTTTTGCTGCCGTACTTTGAAAAATAAATAAAACTGATGTTTAGCGAAGAGCATTAGATTATTATCAACTGATTTCTATTTAGTTTTTGCATTCTCAATACTAGAGATACATCAAAACAAAAATGCTGGATCCAAACACCACTATGTTCTGAGTAGGGCTATATCGTTTGGATCCCAGTTTTGTGGCTCATATGCACTCACCTTTGCTGACTACTTATATGGGATCCACTTTCATTATGCGACACCAAAGGCATAATTTTATAATTAAAACTCTACACATAAGATGCATGAATGGGATAACCCATTAAAACAAATGTTTTCTAGCCAAACTACTGTTTCTCTTTGTGTGAGTTTCCCTATTAAATCTATAATAATTTTTAATTTTTTTTAAATCAAGAATCTAGATTTTTAAGCAGTAACAATAGGGGCCCCAGGGGAGTCCTTAGGAGTGTTAATTAGCTGAGAGTTGTGACCTGGGTTGGGCTGTCAAGGCACTGAAATGCTATGGTGATGGGCACAATATAATAAACATTTGGTGAGATAAACCACAGCACATTTATACCTTCTCAGCAATAACAATTTTGGCTCAGCTCATTTAGTTACATATTTTATATATAGAGCTCAATCCTTTACATGGCTAAATCCTTTACGTGGCTCCCGGAGTTGTCCCTGGAGAAAGTGAGAGCAACCACCTTTGCTTGCTTATACTGTCTAGAACATCAGAGGACAGACCTCAAGGAGAAAGAACACATTTTTGGTGGAGAAATCTGTGTGGTCACAAGACTGCTTTCTGAGGCGCTCAGTGGCATAGGAGCATGATGGACTGTCACACACTGGTTACACAGGCAGTCAATATTTTTCCTCTGTGTTCAATGTGCTACTCCAACACTTAATGAAGAATATAAGAGCTGTGTAGGTGACAAGTAAATAAAGCTGGTCTAACACCTTTTTGCTAATTTGCTGGATTTCTAACAGTGCTTTATTTCTCATTCTGTAAAGCCTTTTTTATTTATTTATTTTTTTGTTTGTTTTTGTTTTTTTGCCTTTGTGTGTTTTAATGTTTTTCTTACCAGTATATTCATATCTGTTGAACAATTGAGGAAACTAACATGGCTAGGCTAACACTCTGTTTTCTTGCAACTTCCAGCTTTTTATTTTTTTAAATGTAACCGTTATGGGCTTGGGGCAGCCCCACAGTTTGTGAGCATTCAGGCTCCTGGGAAGAGTTGAGGCAGGAATTAGGTGATTAGTTGGCTCTCCCTCCATACCCTGTGCTGAGAGACTGGGCCAGCCAAGAAATGTAGGGAGGGCTCTCCAGTGCATGGTCACTTGGTTGTTCTTGAGGCCAATATAGTACAAACCTCTGTGCTTTGAACCTATCTTAGGTTCAGAGGTGTATCATATGTAACTCATTAATGCTTAGAGTAATTTTGTGGGCTCACTGATAGGGAGAGTAGACTTCTTATTATGGTGGCTTTTATCTTTTCATAGTTCATTTCTTTTGTTTCAGAGCCACTTTAATGAGTCAGATTGCGTGTGTATGTGCCCGAAAGGGTGGGTTTATTTCTGGTGGTAATATTTCCTTACAGGTTAAATTCCTAGGACTATGCCTTATCTGGAAGGCAAGTCTGTTTAGTTTTGTCCCAGTTGGGCACTAATTTGCCTGTACAAATGTCATCTGTTTGCTGTTCCCGTACAGAGCTTTACATAAATATTTTACTATCTTATCTGCAAATATGAAACTCGCTTAATAACAAATGATTGCATGCTCTTAGATGTTCACTGACTAAAGCCCAGTAAGTCTAATTAATGGATGCCAGGAATCTTTTTTTTTTTTAATAGTTCATGGTTTGTTTGTTTTTTTGCAAAGGTGTCTTTTGTGATTTCTTGGAAGTTCATGTGATGGGAAATGAGGTTTAAGAAGCTTTAAAAATTTGTATTTTGGTGTATTTGTAGATCTAAAACTTGATTATTAAAATTCTGATTTTTCTAAAGCAATTGGGAATTTGGGGGAGGAATTCACCCCTTGCATTATATCCTAGCTGATCCGAAGTAGTGACAAAGGGTCTATACAGACCCTGCCTTCTTTGGTGTATTCCCCCCCACTACAGAACACACACCTCTATCCAGGGCAGAGCCATCTCTATATCACCTCCAAAGAAGCCCTGGGACAGGGGGAATTCTGGAGCAGGGTGGTGGGGCATATTGGGGACCAGGAATGGGATGAGATGAATGGAAGTGTGACCAGGGGAGACCTGCACTTGGTGATTCCTCACTGCTTCAAGCCCTATAGGGGAAATGGCACCAGGAGGCACAAATTAAATCAGCCTCAGGACTTGCCCTATATTGCAACTTGGGCACCACCAGCAGCAATAGTATAAGGACCTTTGTTGGCCCTAACGTTACCACAGAGATCTGGCCTGTCCTTGAGTTTTTTGGCCTGATGGGTCAGACAAAACAATGGAGCGATCTGGCATAGTCAATGAGGCCTTCGGGTGTTCACCAGTTTCTCAGAATATTTGGCTCTTGGTTAAAATCCCTCTTTCTCACTCTAAATTTAAAATGAAAGCCCATCCTCTTCTCTCGTACACTGAAAAAACCTGTTGTCAGTTTCTTAATCTAGGTAAAGTAGAAGGCTTTATTTTGCTTCCTTATAGCTTCATCCTGCACATCGCAGGTTAAAAATGTTGTGTGTACAAGTGAAGAAGTGCTGTGAGTTTGTATAGACAATGTCTTCCATGAATAGGAAACATAGCAATTACAGATTTTTATTTTCCAGAATTGCCATGCTTACTATTGAGAAAATGTAATCTGTATGTATGCCTTGATCTATTCCCAGGCTAGAAAATACATTGAATCTCTACCACATATGCCTCAACAGGATTTGAAAGCAGTATTTCGTGGTGCCAACCCTTTAGGTAAGAATTTGTTAGGGTTTTCAGACTGATGTAATTTGGTTCCTTCACCAGCATCTGAGCTCAAGTTTTACACTTGCTATATTAAACCAGCCGAATGACAATGGTGCACAATGTCATAAGCATTACCAAACCTCTTGATTCTGAGACCACCATCTTACTCTAATTAAGCCCATTGAGACCCTTTTCTGAGTAGGAAGAAAAGGCAGGTAGCTCCCAGTGAACAGCAATCCATGGATTAGAGGGCAAATGGCTGCTTTCAAAAAGTAAAAGCCCGTCAAATATTGCATAGCTACAGAGTTAGAACAAAGAGAAATTTGGAACTGCCTAACAGAAGAATGATCAAAAATGTTTTATTTGAAATGAGTACCCATCATCTTTTTGCTCCAGAATGGTTCAAACCAAAGATCCTAGAATGTAATGACTCTCCTGGGACATATTAGGCCATCAATATTTTATTTAAATGGGGTTCCTCTTAAATATGACCCACTGTTAGAAAAAAATACATAAATACCGAGAATTAATAAGGCAACATTCTCAATACTCAAATTAAAATGTAGCTAAATCTGTAGAAAAATATGGGGTTTAATCCTACTCTGCACAAACTCACAATAAAACATTACAGTTACAATTTGTCAGTTTTTCTAATCCCATGCAAAGGTAAAGCAGAAATGTTTTTAATAATTAGTATTTTTGTCTGATTGTGAAAATGTACTGAAGTTAAGCAACATTTTTATTGATAAGGTGTTGATTTGAGCTCTCTCAATTTAATTCGGAAATGGAGTGCCGTTCTCTGATACAAATGAATTAAAAGATAAATTGTCTGAATCAACAGTTTGCCACTTGCTCTGGGCCACTAGAACAAATTTAAGCAGCAGATAGTATGATTCGAGAAAGATGCTAGTAAGAAATATAATACATTAAAGAGGAAAAATCAAACAAAAAATCTAATGATTGTTTATATATTAAAGCAATAAAACTGCTTAAATTTTCATATATAAATTATAATATTTGTATATTAAAAACATGACATATAAACCACTTCCAGTCCTCCAGATATCTCTCATGTATAATATTGTATAGTTTTATGCAAACTTAAAATGAATACATTTTGTATGTATTCTATGACTGTCCCCTTTAAGGCTATTTTACAATCATCATATGAACATTTTTTATGGGTACAAATAATTGCAAGTGTAATCTTGCAGGTCACTTAGGCCCTGATACTGAAGACACATATGCATATGCTTAATTTAAGCATGTGCGCTCATCATATGTCTACTGATGTGCTTAACATTAAGCATGTGCTTAAGTGTTTGTAGGGTCAGGGCCTTAGAAGGAAGTCTAAATCAGGATTCAGATGTCTAACATGACTAGGGTTACCATACTTAACAAATAAAAAAAGAGGACCCTCCACGGGGTCCTGGCCCCACCCATTTCCCCACCCCCCAGCCCCGCCCCAGCCCCGCCCCAACCCCGCCCTAACTCCGCCCCCTCCTCCCTCCCACTCCCAGCCACGTGGAAAGGGCTGCCCGAGCGCTACCGGCTTCACGGTTTACCGGGCAGCCCCCAGACCCTGCGCCCCCGGACGGCACTTCCCCAGCGCAGCTGGAGCCCGGGAGGGGAAGCGCCCAGCCGGGGGCACAGGGTCTGGAGGCTGCCCGGCAAACCGTGAAGGCGGTAGCGCTTGGGCTTCGAGCAGCCCCCTTGCCTCCGGACCCTGGCCGCCGGCCGGGCACTTCCCCTCCCGTGGCGGCTCTGCTCCTCCCCTGACTCTTCGGCTCTGTTTAAGAGCCGAGCTGCCCGAGCGCTATGGGCTTCAGGCAACCCCCTTGCCTCCGGACCCCAGCCGCCGGCCGGGCACTTCCCCTCCCGGGCTCTGCTCCTCCCCTGACTCTTCGGCTCTGTTTAAGAGCCGAGCTGCCCGAGCGCTATGGGCTTCAGGCAACCCCCTTGC